AAACCCAGAAAAATCGCACAAAATGGATCCAAAACTTCATGAATTGAGAAATATCCTATTTAAAAAAGAAAAAAAAAGACAAAGGAAGTCAGAACTTTTCTAATTTATTAAATTTTTGAAAAATGGATTAATATAAAAATTTAAATAATTTAAACAATTAAAAAAAACAATGTTGGTAAAATAACTATTCTAATTAAAAACATAAAACATGTTTAAAGTCATGTTTATCTCTGAAAAAGAAAAACTGGATCCTTTAAAATCTCCTGTTTTGTGTCTTTATCGGTCGTTCTGCTCAGTTTGACGGTTTTTATAGGATTTTTACTTGTTTCACAGCTTCTGAATCAAATTAGTTGGAAAATCTTTGGATTATTTAATTGTGGACACTTAAATGAAGACTGAAAAATGAAGTTTTCTGCCTTTTCAGTCCTGTGGCGACCCCTGCTGGTGGAAGAAGGAAGTACAGCCCGTTTTTTCTTTAATTATTTTTTATTAAATGTTTGGACAAACTGGGACATACAGCCGTCATTTCTACAGCAGCTACAGAAAACAAAAAAAGACTCTTTATACACTTTATTTCTCATCCAGTCACATTCAACAACCATAAATAATAAAACTTTCTGTACAGATTCAGTAAACAGTCAACAGGAATCTTCAGACAGACCCGGAATTCAGTGGTTTGACTCTAAAACCTATAGTTTATAACTAATACATAAAGAGTTCTGGCTTTAAAACTCTGTTTGGTGTTTAATCTCAGCACATAACGCATCGTTAGCTCCAATTCTTGATTCATTTGAGACATTTTTCCCCTTTATTTGACCACCGTTTGTCACTTAAGACTCATTTTCTTTGTAATAAAGTCTCTGTTTCGATAAAATGTTTTTCTAAGCTCCAAAAAAATGTGGCAGAAAAAATAATAAAATGAGGAATTACTGGAGAAAGTGGCTATGTTTTTACTCAAAAATCAAACTAAAAATCCCCCAAAGCACATTTATATTTCACAGAAGGGAGATTTTTTCTTATCCTTAAGTGGTTTAAAAAGGGGAGTAACTTTTAAATCTGGTGCCCCAAAACAACCAATAACAGCTAAAAACATCCCACCTCACAGCCTGAATTAAAAAAAAAGCTGGACGACTTCTTGGATTCTTTAAAGGAGGTCCAATGTCTTTATTCAGGCTCCGACTCTTCTTCTTCTCTTAAAAAGGAGCAGCAACTATGTCTGACTCTCTTCTTCTTCTCTTCCTCTTTAAAAGGAACAGCAACTATGTCTGACTCTTCTTCTCTTCCTCTTTAAAAGGAACAGCAACTATATCTGACTCTCTTCTTCTCTTCCTCTTAAAAAGGATCACCAAATATGTCTGACTCTTCTTCTTCTTCTCTTAAAAAGGATCACCAAATATGTCTGACTCTTCTTCTCTTAAACATGAGCACCAACTATGTCTGACTCTCTTCTTCTTCTCTTAAAAAGGAGCAGCAACTATGTCTGACTCTTCTTCTTCTTCTCTTAAACATGAGCAGCAGCTATGTTTGACTCTCTTCTTCTCTTTAAAATGAGCAGCAACTATGTCTGACTCTCTTCTTCTTCTTCTCTTAAAAGTGAGCAGCAGCTATGTCTGACTCTTCTTCTTCTCTTAAACATGAGCACCAACTATGTCTGACTCTCTTCTTCTTCTCTTTAAAATGAGCAGCGACTATGTCTGACTCTCTTCTTCTTCTCTTTAAAAGGAGCAGCAGCTATGTCTGACTCTCTTCTTCTTCTCTTTAAAATGAGCAGGAGCTATGTCTGACTCTCTTCTTCTTCTCTTTAAAAGGATCAGCATCTACAACTGGAAAGTGTCTTTTTAACTAGATAAATAGGTAAATACTGACGTCTGAGGGAGGAGTCCTGAGAGGAGCCGGTCCACTGGGGTGCGGGGGTGGGGTGGACCGGACCATGTGGGGGGGTGGTGGGGGGGGGGGTCTCAGCTGACGGACCTCAGCGTGGCCCAGGGGTTGGTCCCCCGGACGTCCAGCGGCGCGTCGTTGGAGAAGATGTGGTTGCAGAGGTCCTCCAGCGGGGGCTCGGGGTCAGAGGTCGCGAACTGAGCCGCCTCCTCCACCAGCTTACGGATCTCCACGTCCATCTCCTGAGGAGGGAGGAATCGTTACCCAGAATGCACCTGGGGGGGGGGCAGCGAGTCAGCAGCTGGAAGGATGGAAGGAAGGAAATAAAGGAAGGAGGCAGGAAATAAAAAGGAAAGGAAGTAAGGAAGGAAATAAAGGACGTAGGAAAGAAGGGAAAGAAATAAGGAGGGAGGAAAGAAGGAAGGAAGGAAGAAATTAAGGAAACTAAGGAGGAAAGGAAGGAAGTTAGTGCATGAAATGAAGGA